TGGGATACACAGAGTTAATAATAATTGATAGACATTTATTTAAGATTTAAACTCACAATAATCATATAAGACAAATATTTCCACCACTCTCATGCACTTGATACATTTCAAAAGAGATAACATACTTGTCATTTATTTAAAAGATATAAATATCAATGAATATCCCATGTCATATGTAATTTCTGAACCCAAATCCATCCTTATATCCTCCTTATTTCTGCCGACTGGACCCATGGGCTAAGTTCTTTCCATTTGACTGGAAACTTTGACAAGCTCACCACACGAATGATGTGGACCGGTCAAAGACCACAGAGCACTCGGTGGACCATGGGTCCCCCCTCGAAGAACTAGTGGGGTGTCGCAGCCCCTCGAAGAACTAGTGAGACAATAATAGCAGCCAACTATAGAGCTCCATATGGAGGCTAATACCACGTGGCAAGTATATGAATCTCAGTAACTCCAATTATCTCCTTTCCCCACCCAAAATAGATGCACAGGGTTCAAAATGACACATTTATATACATAATCAACAGAATTTCATAATAGCACATCATAATCATGATCACCAATTTCTTGCAATACAAACTATGTCAATTCTTTTTAAAATAGCATCCCACAGGACAGTTTATATAAAATGTAATATACTTTTATAGAATTAGTTATAAAGCCGCTCACCAACTTCATACTAGAGCATGCAACAGATAGAAATTTAATTACCTGATCTCCTAGCTAACAGTCAACTACAACCAGAGTCCAACCTCGAAAATGCCACAATAGAGTTTATATCAACAAAAAAAATTAAAATATTATCTCTATAGTATTAGAGTAGGCTACTCACAAAATTCTAGCCTCTAACTCCTCCTCTAAAAGCCCTGTTTGGTTTGAGGGGAGGGGAGGGGAGGGAGGGGAAGGAGGGGTAAGGGAGGGGAGGGGAGGTTTCATCCTCACCTTGTTTGGTTTGATTAAAAAGGAGGGGAGGGGAGGGCATTTAATGATCCCTTGTTTGGTTCAAGGAGGGAAGGGGAGGGATAGTAATAATCAATTTACCATTTTACCCTTACATATTAGTTTATGTTTTTTGTTGATATATTATATAAATTAAGTTACATCTTAATTTAAATTATATAATTTAATAAAAATTCAGTCTTATCATGTTAATATGTGTATTAAAAAATTGGTATGGTAATTTTTTATTCTAATTAATATAATAATATATTTAAAATAATCAAATTAACAAATTTTATATGCTATAAGAAAAATGAAATTTTATTTTCTTTAGGCTATCTTTTTTTCCAGCTTTAAAATATATTTAATAAATAATATATTTATAAAAAAATTAATTTTATAATATTATATTTTTTATTTAAATACTTTTTTATTTTTAAATAATTTTTATAATATATTTTTAATTATAATAATATATATATTTTTTATTTTTTTACTTAGGATAATATATTTTTTATTTGAAAATAAATATTATAACAATATATTTTATGGGTAGAAGTGGAATATTAAAAAAGCCATAAGGGTATACTGGTCCAAAATTTTGGCTCCCATCCAAAAACCCCCCAATTTGGAGGGGAGCCAAAATGGGGGGAGGGAGGGGAGGGGAGGGGACATTTTAGCTCCCCTCCCCTCCAAAATTTTTAACCAAATGAGGGGAGGGGCTCATTTTCCCTCCCCTCCCCTCCCCTCCCCTCCCCTCCAACCAAATACACCCTAATTTTACTCAGAACTCTAGCCTAAAAGACATTTCTCTAAGGTTTGGAATGAGAACATATATATATGTGATTTAGACTCGATTCCTGAATTTCCCTTACTTAAATATCCTTTAATTATTAGATTATATTATTAGAATCATCAAATTCATAATGCAAATAGACAAACTATAAATTTATAACTTATATTCCACTTCAAAAGACTTAGACAAATAGACTTAGTATGAATCAGGTTATTCTCACTACTGAAGTTAAACCCTTAATCTAACCGTTGAATTTAATTTCCTATCTATCATGATACTATCCTCCAAATTATAGCTCAATCTAACGGTGAATGAACTTTAAAATGCTAAGTTACTATTCAGGACTCTATTTGCTAAATCCAAAAGATATAAGTTTAAAACGTACCTAATAACTTGTAACTCGGAAATCAAAATGATCTGATGATCCAACCGTTGAAATTAACAATTTTGATGTCCCAAATGGGTTGACCAAATTTTAGTCCAATCCAACGGTTAATAAACTCAAAACTAGCACTTTTCTGAGACTACCTCAGATATGTGCGAAAATTATTTACTCACTTTAAGCTCCACTCACTATCTCCTATATATAGGCTCCTCAAACTCCTTCACTCTAAAGATTAGTCGATGTGGGACTTCTTAACATTGCTATTTTATCCACTTCCTATCATTTAATCAATGTGGGACTTCTTAACATCGTTATTTTATTCATTTTCTCATACACACACACAAAATCGGAATTATTTTAATTACATATATGTATATTTAACCTCTACCTATTCTATAAAAATTTGTTAAAATATTAGATATATGAAAATTAGGATGTTACAAGTTGGAGTAAGGTTGTGCAACATGTTGATGCTCCCTCTACTGAATTAGCTTTGAAACTGGTTGATTGCAGCAAGGCTCTTAGGAAATGGAGTAGAAGGGCCTTTCCTAACAATAGGAAAAGAATTGCAATTTTGATGGAAAAATTGGAGACTTGTGATGAAAAAATATTCACTGAGGAGATTATGTTGCAAAAAGAAGCAATTACTGATGAACTGAAGGAAGTTTGTAAGCGAGAGGAGAAGTATTGGCATCAGAGGTCCAGAGTAAAGTGGCTAAAAGAGGGGGATGGTAATACAAGTTTTTTTTTACATTACCACCGTCCAACATAGAGTTAGAAATAAGATACTGAGATTGAAGAATGAGACTAGCAAATGGATGGAGGAAGAAACAGCTATTGCCGAGGAGTTTACCAGCTATTACAGAAATCTCTTTGTGGAATCTGGTACAAGAGATATATCTGAGGCTCTTAGTTTTGTGGATAAAAAGGTTTCTAACTATGAGAATTCAGTGTTGCTGAGGAGTGTTACCAGAAAAGAAGTGAAAAAAGCTTGTTTTCAAATGGGGGCAAGGAAGGCGCCTAGACCTGATGGATATATTGGGCAGTTCTATCATTGCTCATGGGAAATTGTTGGCGAAAAAGTATATGAATTTGTCAAGAACTGCCTTGAAAACGGTGATTTTGTTGAACCTGTGAATCTTATTGATCTAGTGATGATTCCTAAGGTTGATAAACATGAAGTGGTGACACAATATAGGCCCATAAGCCTCTGCAACTTCTGTTATAAGGTGCTGACAAATAGAATGAAATTCTTGATGCCTAAGATCATCTTAGAGAACCAGTGTGTTTTGGTGGAAGGAAGAATGATTCATGATAATATCGTCTTAGCTCATGAAGTTTTTCATTACTTAAAAAGGAGGAAAACTTCTGCTAAATTTGAATTTGCCCTAAAGATGGACATGAGTAAAGCTTATGATAGGATCGAATGGGACTTCCTTGAAGCTGTGATGCTGAAGATGGGTTTTGATGTGAAATGGGTAGATTGTGTCATGAGATGCGTGAGGACTGTGAAATACACAATAATGCTATCAGGAAAAAGAATTGCTGAAGTAACTCCTAGAAGAGGGGTAAGGCAAGGTGACCCTCTTTCTCCTTATCTTTATATCTTGCTAGCAGATGTTCTTTCCAGTATGATTAGGAAAAATGTGGAGAATGGCACGTTAGAGGGTATTAAGTTGAACACCACTTGTCCGGTATTGTCACATTGCCTATTTGCAGATGACTCCTTATTCTTCATGAAGGCTTCAAAAAGGAATTGTAGACAACTGAAAAGGGTTTTCGCTACTTATGAAAGAGCTTCAGGTCAACTTGTTAATTTGGAAAAGTCAGGAGTTTATTTCTCTGCAAATACTAATGAGGCTAGAAGAAATAAGGTCTGCAAATGGTTAGAGATAAAAGAAACAAATGATCCAGGTAAATATCTTGGTTTACCTATCATTTGGGGAAGATCTAAAACAAAAGCTCTTGCTTTCATTCGAGAAAATTTGATTAAGAAGATTCAAGGATGGAAGCAAAATTTCCTCACTCAAGCTGGAAAGTAAGTGCTAATTAAGGCTGTGGCTAATGTAGTACTGGTTTACCCTATGACATGTTTCAAAATGCCTCTGAAAACCTGCAGAGAATTTGATAGGCTCATTTCAAAGTTCTGGTGGGGTAAAGGATCCGAGGAGGGTGGTATCCACTAGAAAGCCTGGGACATAATGACTAGGCAAAAGAAGAAAGGAGGAATGGGATTCAGAGATTTTTCTGATTTTAATTTGGCTATGCTAGCCAAGACCCCATGGAGAGCAATTCGGAATCCTGAAGCTCTGTGGGTCAGGGTACTTAAAGGTCTTTATTTCCATAACTCTGATCTTTTAAATGCTAGAAAGGGAGGAAGAGCCTCATGGTCCTGGTCAAGCATTCTAGCAGGTAGAGATGTGTTGAAACATAATCTTATTTGGAGAGTTGGGGATGGAAGAAAGGTGAAGGTTCTGGAGGATTGGTGGGTAGGTGATTTCGTTCTCAAAGATTATGTGACTGAGATCTTTGCCTTATCTGATATGCTTGTTAGTGACCTAATAGAAAATGGTCAGTGGAAGGAAGATAAGCTTGTTGATTTGTTTGACACTGACACGGTTAGAGATATTTTGCAGATTCCTATCTCCAATTGTGGAAGGGAAGATAAACTAATTTGGAAGGGAAGTAGAAATGGGGAATACTCAGTGAAAGCCGGATACACCTTTTCTGAAGAATGAAAGAATAACTCCTCGGAAACTTAGACATGAGACTTCCTATGTGATACCAGAAGGATTGTGGAAAGAAATATGGAAACTGAAAGTCCCTCCCAAAGTTCAACATTTTATCTAGAGAGCAGTAAATGGATGCCTAGCCATGGGAGAGAGTCTATTTAGGAGAAAGTGTTGTAGGGAACCTGTTTGCAAGATCTGTTGTAAGGCTGATGAAACCATCGAGCATTGTTTACTGCTTTGTGACTGGGCAAAAAAACTCTGGTTTGGCTCTTCAATTGGGATTATGATAAACGAGAGAAATATTTGTAGATTTGATAATTGGCTCTGGATGATGCTTGGTGAAGGTAGGAAGGGCAATGATTTTCAGAAAGCTTTGCTAGCTTCTATCTGTTGGAGTATTTGGAAAGGAAGGTGTAATGTGATATACCAGGATATGGTGCTAGAACCAAAGAAGATATTGAGGAATGCAACCAATTTAGTCAATGAGTTTTGGGTGGCTAAGGGATGGATAAAGGAGAGAGTTTTACCTTCTTTCAATAGGGAAGGGTCAGTGTGGAAGACTCCTAATCACGGTTGCACTAAGGTTAACATAGATGGCTCTTTTCTTAGCAAGACTGGTAAGGCTGGTATAGGGATAATATTTAGAAACAACAATGGTGATCTGTTAAAGTTTGTTGCAGAACAAGCAAAGTCTACTTCTGCTTTCATGTCTGAGGCTCTTGCTCCTAGAAAGGCTTTGGATCTGATCAAGCTGAGTGGCAATGGTACCTATTTGATTGAGAGTGACTGCGAGGCTTTAGTCAAGACAACCACTTGTAACTCAAGTACTCTTTGTGAATGGCAATCTTAGGCTGTAGTTGATGACATCTTGACATCTTTGAGATCTATGCCAGATGTCTCGTTTGGCTTTATTTCAAGATCTTGCAATAAGGCTGCTGATTGGCTGGCAGTCTCAGGCTCAAAGGGGGTGTGTCTCGAAGGTTGTTCTGCTCAGCCTCCACCCTCTCTTGCCAAATTACTCCTTGAAGACAAGGTTCGGTGTGCTACCACTTGCAATGTTGGTCCTTGTCAGATTAGGACCGGTATTGGCTAATCTATTTCATCCTGCTTGCTTTGATGCTCTCTGATTTCCTTTCAGTTTGTTTTGTTCTCTTTTTCTTGCTTTATTTGTTCTGTTTGTAGTTTTGGTTTTCTTTCTCTTGTTTTTCTAGGTTGTATCCTAGGTTTTTCTTGCTTTCTTTTTCTTTCTTTGGCTTCGACTATTGGTGTTCGTAATTGTTTTTTTTTGTTATCAATAAAATGGACTCCCTTTTTCTGGTAAAAAAAAAAAAACTCGAAGGGACCCTACTCATGAAGTTATGAGCACCCGTGACGCCTTTTTAGTTTTTCATATACTATCTTTTATCTTTAATATGAAAATAATTAAAAAATTAAATAGTAAATATAAAATTTCAATTTATTTTTTTTTATTTTTTCTAAATATCTCCATTAATTAAATGGTTTCATGAAAAATAATTAAAGATAATATTTTAGGAAAAGTAAATTTATCGCATCCTTAAAAGATTATATTGCACAAACTTCCAAGTCCTAATTACACAGGACTCTAGGTCCACTTACAACGCTAGCGACACATTATTATTATTATGCATAATCCGATCAAGGAAAAAGGAGAACATATAATAAGCCCCCGGTATATGATCCGGAAATTCTCAACAAAAGTTCAAAGCTTTTATATTCAGAAAATTTCAAAAAGAAAATCCTTGGATTAGAAAATCCTCTAAAGGTAACATGAATTTAACAAATTTCAAATTAGTCATAATAATTAAATCGGAATTTTGAAATGATGGTAAATTTACAATTTTATGCTTTAAGTTTTTTTTATTAAAATTCCTAAGACACTCTCACTCGTCGACCGTCAACCCATGTCAGGGTACAGGTGAGTCGCCTTTGGCGACTGGCAACTATTTTTCTGAGAATTTTTTAATGTTCGTCACATAATTAGCAAATGTTATAACGATGTTCATAAATCTATTAATGACATTAATCACATGTTTTCCATGTTTTTTAACTACAATTTTTTCAAAATCCATAATGTGATTAATAGCTCCTATAATGATATTTACAACTCTAATATTATTAACCACATGTTTTTTAAGTTTTGAAATTAGAATTTTTTTTATAACATTTATAACGTGATTAACAACTCTTAAAATGATATTCACAACTTTATTAACGCTTCTAACCATTTTATGTCATATGTTTTAAAACTGGAAGAAATTAAGGGAATATGAGCCACATTAAACTCTAATATATTTAATATGCATTTAATTTATTAAAGTAAACTATATATGTTAAAGTCATAATATTAATTTAAAAACCTATCATATGAAGTGGTTAATGGAGTTAATAGTGTTGTAAATATTGTTATAATACTTGCTAACCACATTACGAATATTAAAAAGCAATCCAAGTCTAAAAACCTGAAATACATATTGTTAATAGTGTTAATAGAGTTGCAAATATTGTTACAAGAATTGTTAATTATATTTATAAATGCTAAAAAATCCAAAAAAATAGTTAAGCCAATCTCTAGAGCTTTGACGGCTAGCAGCCCACCTGAATTCTTGAATGGGTTGCCAGCAACCAGCGGTCGGTGAGGTTGACTCGAGATTTCTTTAAAAAGAAAATTAATGGACAAAATTGTTAATTCACCAACAATTTTTAAAATTTCAATTTAGACATTATGACCAATTTAGAATTTGTTAAATTCAAGATACTTTTTATAAATTTTGAAATGCAAGTATCATATTTTAAAAAAAATTTCCCGATTTTATTTGGGTTTATAGGTCAACCTTTACACATCAATAGGTACGGAAAGATCAATATTCCAAGACGTGGAAAAGGAGTAGTAATATATTTATGAATTTGAAGCGGCTGGGTGGTCTCCAATAAGTTCCATGAGAAATTTCATATTAAAGGGAGGAATATCTCAAGAAACCGTCATGCGGCTTCATCTTCATGCTGAAAAAGCAACCTGCGAAGTTTCTTTATGGTCACATTGGTCAGCCATGTTCTAAAAAAAGCCCTGCCATGGCTTGAGGATATGCGTCATCTCCTTTTTCCCCTTTCCTTCAAACGTATGATCTGGGAACTACTAGTCCAATCCTCCTCTTTCATTACGTTTGGTGGATCTTATCTCTCCCTCACTTTTCTTTTCCCCTTTAGATGGCAATCAGTAATCACAACAATTTTGTAATTGAAATGGAGTCGATGCTGGAAGAAGCTGAAACAGAAATGGCTGCTGAGTGCTGCTGCATCTACAGGGTGCCGAATGATATACGCAAATTGAATGAAGATAGCTTTACCCCAAAGGTGGTTTCTATTGGCCCTTTTCACTATGGGCATCCCAGACTAAAAATCATGGAAAAGTACAAGCTTGCGTATCTCAAGCAATTCCGTAAAAGAATTTCCAGCACCATAAGTTTGGATAGATTAATCAGCTTCGTAGAAGAGATTGAGCCGGGCGTTCGTCTTCATTACTCAGAGCCTATTGAGCTTAGCAATCAGGAACTTGTGAAGGTGATTCTGCTGGATTCTTGTTTCTTATTTGAGCTATTTTTGAGGTCATATTATAGTGAATGGGATGGTGTTATTCTGTTAAAACCATGGCAAGCCACTACCGTAAGAATAGATTTGCTCTTACTTGAGAATCAGCTGCCTTTTCGTGATCTTGAAAAGCTATTCAGTCGGGTTTTTCCCTCCAGCATGACTAATGACAGAGACCCTTCATTTCTTCATCTAACTTTTGACTATTTTGCCTATTACAACAACGTGAAATTGCAACCTCAAGGCGTTACCATTAGCCACTTCGCAGATCTTATTAGGACGTTTCACTTACCACCAATGAGTAGTCAACCAAAGAGATTGCGCAAATCAGTAACATATGTTCAGAGTGCAACTGAGTTAGCTGAAGCAGGGGTGACATTTAGAAAAAGTACAAGCTCATGCTTGCTAGACTTCAAATATTCAGGAGGAATTCTTGAAATACCAGAATTAAAAGTGGATGATTGGACTGAAACTTTGCTTAGGAATCTAGTGGCGTTAGAGCAGTGTCACTATCCTTCTGATTCTTACATCACTGATTTTGTTGCCATTATGGACTTCCTTATCAACACAAGCAGTGATGTGGATCTCTTAGTTCAGGAGGGAATCATCATTAACTGGTTAGGAGAATCCAATTCTGTGGCCAACTTATTCAATAGTCTTTGGAAGAATATCACACATGTAGATTTCAACTCCCATTACTCAAATGTTTGCAAGGACTTGAATGCCTTTTGTAAAAGTCCTTGGAACAACATGAAGGCCACTTTGAGACATGATTACTGCAACACTCCTTGGCAAACTGCGGCTTCTATTGCTGGAATTCTGATCCTTCTTCTCTCGTTAATACAAGCAGTCAGTTCTATCTTACAAGTGTTGCAGCAATTTAAGCAAAGCTCATCGCATTGAGGTTCTCTTTTCCATATATGGTAATTTGCAGCAATTTTTATGGGAGTTGTTAAGAAATAATTGTCTAGAGCTGTCATCCTTAACACATATGTATTCTTCTCATCAAACTCTCTCAACTTGCTTCAATGTAAAAGTCACTTATTTAATTAGCATTGTTTAGCTGATTATGCATTGATCTATTCTTTTCTTCCATTTGTGACTAGATTTAAGATTGTGAGAATATTGGTGGAAACCGACTTCCTCGTGTAAGGATGACAGAAATCCTAACTCGTAATATTCAGTGGGAAAATTTTGAATGCTAATTTTGTTGAGTATTTCTGCAATAAAATTAGCACTTAAATGATGTTAGGAGTAAGGGACAACGTTGCTTGCCATTGGACAACTGGGCATGTGGTTTCAGCAGGTTAGACAATAGGATGGCAAGGTTGGGCAGGACATCACGTTGTGTGGCTACTAATGTTGCCGGAACCATATCAGTCCGTCTTTCATCTTTTCATCTAAGCCATAAACTTCAATTACGTGAGTATTTGGGTCAGCCAATGCCCTCCATAACATCATTTAGAATTGGCCCCCTCCATTCTGAAGCATCAAAGGCCTCAGAACTGAAAATAAAGACTCGTGTGACTGATTCGATGTCTTCAACTTCCCTGTTGATTTCTTTGTTCTGTTCCTCATCTTTAGTTTGTGGCTTGTCCATGTAAGTTTTGCTAGGAAGGACATAATGAAGAAGAAGATGCCAAATTGCAGAAGGCCAATAATTCTGGAAATTACTAGAATAGCCCACATTAATGGAGGGACATCATGAGTTCAGACGATTTTTATCAATAGAGGATGGCTTCAAATTAACTAGGAAGTGGTTTCCCCTTGCTACACCAAAGATGTAGCAGTTTAATATCTTAGTTCTGTGTTGTAGTCTGGTCTCTTGGCTTTTTGTTTCATGCAGTGAAACCAAGAGGAAACAGAAAGTCCGAATCAGAAACAAAGATCAATCACTTGTTACTTGGAATGCCCACTATCTCAAACCCATGGGCAGGAATTTCGAGTCCTGAATTAGTTAACAAGCTCCAGTTGAAGGAACAGCATTGGTTTGAGATAAATGTATGGATGCATTTCGATCTTTTCTGATCCTATGCAGAGATAAGAAGGGGAATTAGATTTGGGTACGATGACAAATACACACATTCACATTAATTAGACGAGATTAAGTGCTATTCCTTTCTTTCTTTCTTTCTTTCTTTTTTTTTGGTGTGTAGTTAATTGCACAAAGAAACTTCTTCAGCAGTAGAAACTAAGCAAACTTACATAACGCAACTCACACATACCATGGCACATAATCCTATCAAGAAAAAACAAAAAGAACAAACATATAACATGACCCTTAAAATATGTAATATTAGTTTGAAATAAAAAAGGCTGAAGCTTTTAGCAGTGAAGAGAATCATTGGGCCATGAAATTTATCTGGGTATGCATGTGTCTTGATAGCACATCTTCAGTTATAGAAGTAATAGCTTTCAGCCTGTATGATCTGCAGTATATTGAATTCCTGCCACACTGAGGTCAAGTCCCTTATACAGGACACGAAGTACAATGAATACATTCTGCTCGTTCTTGGTGTTAAGAGTCAATACTTTGGATCTTTTTATCTTCGGATTTGTTATAAAATTAGCTTCTTTTGTGGTGGAAATCCAGTACCATAAGTGAGGAAGAAGTAACAGTGTTTACAGATAGGAGTGTGAAGGAGAGAAACATCCCAGAAACTGCAATGCAGCTTCGTGATTATTGGGAAGCAAAAGTAAAGACTTGTGTTTCAGAAAGTGCTTATTGTGTGAGATGGGAGATAATGTTTTGACTGGGAAATTGACTTGGACCAGTTCGCTTTCTCTCTTGGTTTATTGTAAAATTCTTTTCACCCAAAATTTTTTTCCTCTACCATCATTAACATTATTGTTTTCCTGGTAGAACAATTACACTCAATATGAGAAGCAATAATTCAGCTCCAAAAAAAGAAGAGAAGCAATAATATATATATTTGCTAAATTTGAGAAGCAGTACCTTTCAACAAGATAATTAAGTTGGTTATGGTATATAGGCCACTAAAAATCATATTTTGAGATTCAATTTATAATTAGTTCCGTATCCATGTCATGTATAGGGGTTATTGTGTCCCCCCAGCCGCTCTAAAATGATTTTCTTTTATCATGTATGCAATATTACTAAGTAATTTATATTTGAATATTGCTGGGTTCAAATGAAAAAAAAAGAGTAATTTTTTGATTTCATTTTTAAATCATCAACTTTGTTTGGAGGGCATTGACTCATCCCTCACAGCCCACTTATTTTTTATTAAATTATTTTGATCTTTAGTCATGGCAAGAAAAATTATTCAGTAAATAAGTGGTGATTTATGAAAGCAAGCACAGGCTAAGGGCCCATTTCAACTCTCATAAGTAGTTTTTCAACTACAATTTAAGAAATATAAAATAAATATGTGAGAGAAGTTTTGTCTCGATTTATATAAAATGTGTTTATATCTGTTTTGATTTATATGAAATGTGCTTATAACTAAGATATTAAAAATCAGACGAACCTTTGAACCAGCCAAGATAGTAGGTTAAAAGTTAGTGGATCAAATCGGAGTCAAACTAATAAAAGATAAAAAAATAAAAATTAATTTAATTTAACATCTTGAATCTCTAGCAAAATAATCATATACTTATATTTTCTTTTTGTTTTTCTTATAATTCCCTTGATCAATTGATATCATAACATCATATTATTAAATTCACTAAATATTTATTCTAGCAAAATATCAAAATAGATTTATGACCTCAATAAAATCACGAAATAATCCTTTAGTTACTACTAATTAATAATTTTTTAACAGCAAAACAACTTTGAAAAAACACACATACAAACAACTGGGTTAACCCATTAAAATAGTCAGGTTGACTGGATTACACGAAGTCACCCCCTAGTCAACCTACCATTGGCTTTCTGTTGCCGACCAGATTGGCCAGGTGACTAGTTGGCAAGTTTTTGGTCTAATCCTACTAGTTCAGTTTAGTTTTTAATATTATGTTTATAAGTGATTTTAAACTACATTTAAGTCCAAACCAAGGCTGAGTTCTGAAAAAATGGGGTAGGGTGCGAGATGAGGCCTTCATGAATAAGACAGGGAGAAAGAATGAAGGGGAGGAGAAAAAATCATGAAAAAAAAAAAACATACCTTTACAATTTTGTTATAATAATAGAAATAATGAAAAAAAAAATTGGCGAGGAGGATGAGTTCCTGAAAATGAAAGTGTGAAAGGAAACTATGAATGGGCCAGAGAAATAAATTTGGCTCCTCACCGACAGGTCTACAGCTGCCACACGCATGCCGAGGCATGTAAAACTTTTTATCCTTTCTTTAAGTTGAGAAACTTTTTAATAGTATTTTTCCTTATTTTTCTTTTTTACATTTTCATTTTTATAATTTTTTAAATTTATTTACATACTATATATTTACCTAAAATAATTAATATAAAATAAGGGTAAATGTATATTTAGCACATTAATCTTATTTTTTAAATATATTTAGCATCCTGATTTCTTATATAGTACATCTAACACCCTCATCTTATTTTTCTGATGTATCTAGCATCTAAATGTTATTTTTTTTAGTTACAGTACTCCAAATTTTACTGTGTTAGATGCATAAAAAATAAGATTAAATATATCAAAGCAATAAAACCAGGACATTGGATGTACCATACAAACAATTAAGATACTAAATATAATTAGAAAATAAGATCAGGTATTAAATGCACTCTTACCCAAAAATTGAACATGTAAACGTATTTTATTATTATTAGTAATTTGTAAGATATATTATTACCTTATAAATTTGTTAATTTAATTATGAATTGAACTATTTAAGTTTATTTTTAAATTATTGGATAAATTAATATTTTATTTTTATGCATACATTATTATATATGCATAATATTATTTTTATTTAATTATTATATTACTGCTTCGGCTAGGGACTCTTTCGCAACATAGGCAAGGTCTGTAGGGCTGCCAATTTAAATGGTGAACATTTTTAAGCGTTAACTCTTGAAAATTAAGGATTCGCCATGTTTTTTTTTTTTTTGAGCAAAACAAAGTCCATATTATTAAAACGCAGAGAAATATTACAATCACTAATAGACTAGCAAAAGAAAGCAAAGAAAGCAGTAAAACCTAAAGTACAACCTTCAGATAAAGAAGGGAATCTTAAATACAACCTATAACCAAGCAAGGAAAATAAGACTTAACCTACACCCTTCTTAGTGTCAGCAGAAGTGTTACGGCAAGTAAGGTCCTGAAGTAAAATCCGGTTCAGAGGAGGTGGTGGCTTATCAAGCCATCCTTGCGGTACCATTCTCCTCATTGCTTGTGTTGCTAAAAAGTCTGCAGCACTATTGCCCCCACGAGCTACTAAGGCTATTGACACTACAAGAAATTGCTGAAATAGCAGCGGAACATTTCTAGCGGTTCAACAAAACCGCTAGAAATTCCAAATATTCCTAGCGGTTCCTATAAAAACCGCTGCAAAATACAGACGGTTTGACCATTACCCGCACATTTCTAGCGGTTACCACCTAACCGCTAGAAAATTAGAGCTAGAAAATTCCCCGGGCTTTGGCGGGAACTTGGCGCCAAATTTGTAGCGTTTACTTTCTAGCGGTTCAGGCTAATAAACCGCTAGACACCGAAAAATTCTAGCGGTTGATGCATGAAGCGCTAGAAATTTTTTTCATTCCCCGAGGAGTTTAGAATTTTCTAGCGGTTCGGTTCACAACCGCTAGCAATTTCTAACGGTTCTGGACCGAACCGCTAGAAATTGTTAGCGGTTCAGGACCGAACCGCCAGAATTTCTAGCGGTTCTGGGCCGAACCGCTAGAAATTGCTAGCGGTTCAGGACCGAACCGCCAGAATTTCTAGCGGTTCTGGGCCGAACCGCTAGAAATTGCTAGCGGTTGGGACCGAACCGCTAGCCAATTCCCGAGGCATATGTGACCGTTGGGAATTTCTAGCGGTTCGGCCAAAACCGCTAGAAATTTCTAGCGGTTTTTGTGCCTAACCGCTAGAAATCCTCGGTCTATATATACCCCCCTACACTCTCACTTCTTCAATC